GCCCCGCCCCGGGCGTGCGGCCCTTGGAGGGGGCCCTGCCTGCGGGCATGCGGCTATGGGGGGGCCCTGCCCCCGGGCACGCAAGTGTTCCTGCCCTCTGGCGCCCAGCGGGCAAACGGCCACGCCCCCTGGCGCCCAGAAACTTCAAATGGTTGGGGACCACTGGCCTAACCCCTTACTTGTGCTTTTCCTGAGCATTGCACCTAAATATCACCTCATTGTTAGTCTAAAGTTTAAAATCTACTCCTACACCCAGATGCTCTGGGTAAAGGCAGTAAAATCACCTGCATAAACATTAAGATGTTCTATTGTATAAAGCACTGTTTTTCATACTGTGGGGCCCTGGGAGTGAGGGGTACCTTGGGTGAGGTTATCAGAGGACATAGCACTGTTCAGTCCTGTTCCAGCAGCAGCTGACTATTCTCCTTCTCTTCTTCATCTCCCTAACTGCGTGGGGTTCCCTATGGCTTCTTCCATGTAATACTCTGCTGCAGCCCAGACACCCAGTTGGCTGCACTCCCTGCACCCACATGTATTTTAAACCCTCCGTAGCCTCCAGAAACAAGAAGTTCTTGGCATGGGAAGAAGGAGAAGAGCACCAGTCTGCTTGACTCAACACTAACATGGTGGTTCTTCAAGCATGGAACCAGTGATCCTGCCCAGGCTCTAAATGTGTGTTGCCTCCCCCACCCCCATGAGTCACTTTCTGCCTTAGAGAATCAGGAGCTGGAAAGGAGAGGGGCAGGCTATATGAGAAGGATTCTCTCTTTGGTCTAGAGAAGATTTTACCTTTGTGCAGATTGTTTTCATGTTGTGTAGTCTATCAAGTGACTCCTGGGGATTTCCTAAGTACTGTTCAAGTTCAGCATGTAAAATCCGCATAGAAAAGGGCACCATGGAACCTAGAATCATAATGAATTGTTAATTAATTTGATTGCTACAGTTAACACATATTATTACATATAAGAACATAAGAAGGGCCGTACTGGGTCAGACTAAAGTTCCATCTAGCCCAGTAGCCTGTCTGCCGACAATGGCCAGCACCAGGTGCCCCAGATGGGGTGGACCGAAGACAATGATCAAGCGATTTGTCTCATGCCATCGATCTCCAGCCTCTGACAAACAGAGGCGAGGGACACCATTTCTATCCCCTGGCTAATAGCCTTTTATGGACCTAACCTCCATGAAATTATCTAGCTTCTCTTTAAACCCTGTTACATTCCTAGCCTTCACAGCCTCCGCTGGCAAGGAGTTCCACAGGTTGACTACGTGCTGTGTGAAGAAGAACTTTCTTTTATTAGTTTTAAACCTGCTACCCATTATGATCTATATGGTGTTTCTTAAAACATTTTCTAGGTGAATTCACTAGAGAAAGTGATTAGGAATTTAAATCTCTAAATTCTCTTCTTTGATTAAATAACTAAAACATTTTATTTGTTTAACATTGCTACTTTACAGAATCATGTAGGACAGAGCAATATAAATATATACAAACAAGCATAATCATAATAGTGAAAATGTGCAACTAATTCATTGTTAAAATAACAACATATGGTGTATACAGAAGTCCAAAAGAAATTTCAGGAATGTAGTAGCAACTGAAAATAAGGCTTCAGAATTGAAGTTCACCTACAATGGAACTAGAGAGTTGCTACAAAAATATAATTATGCCTAATTTATAAATGGTCCTGAAGAATTTAAGATGGCTTTTCTAATGGTAGCTCATAAGCAAAGAAGACACACATACACAGAGGAAAGGTAGATAACCCCCCCCAAAAAAGCAACACAAATTAAACGTTTCCTCCAAATAAATAAAAAAAAAACAGAAGTTTTGAAGGGTCCATAAGAAAAGAGATGAAAAGGTAAAATAAAAATAGAAAATGAACATACATTGAAAGAAAATGGATAAGAGAAATGAAAATAGAAAGTTAAAGGACAAAGTTAACAAGAGCAATAATGTGATATAGGTACAATGAAATCTGATGTGCAATTAAAGAAAAACAAGGAAGTAAAAATGTTATTTGAGTTTCTATTATTATTTACTAGAAGATTCACCTAGTGTTGCTCTGGTCTTTAACTCATTTTTTGTTTTTCTTCATTTAAATCATTGCTCTGGCCTGGAGATCAGGGGTTGGTATGCAGATTGACCCAGGGAGAGAGAATAGCAGTTTGGGGCCAGGGGAGAAATGCCTCTCCATGGCTGCAGCAACTCCAGCAGGCACAGGAGGGGGAAAAGAGCATGTCCTCCAGCTGGGGAGGTCCAGGTTTTCTGCCCCTTGTATCTCCTAGCTAGAGCGAGGAATGCAGCAAACCGTGCACTTTCCCCTCACTCCCTGACATGAGAGAGGAGGGTTGGAAGCTTCAGCCCCTGCCAGCCCTCCCTAAAGGGCTCCTGGGGGTGGGTGGCCAGACGGCTTCTTTCACCTGCCTTGTAATTCTGTCTCTTTTCTGTATGGTTTCTATATGAATTAGGGGGGAGGTAGGGAAGCATTAGACCCTCTTCTCCTTAAAGGATGGGCAGTATCGGGGGGAGGGAGGAAAGCGGAAGCGGGAGCAGAGCACGCCCCTAGCCATCACCTTTTACCTGCCTGGTGATTTAATCTCTTTTCTGTATGGTTTTATAAGAAGCAGTCCTATTTTGGGCACATCAAATTTTCCCAGCACAACCAAACTCTTACCTTGCTTTACATTATGATAAAAGGAAGATTTATGCCAAATTTGGTGGTCCTAGCTCTTAGCATTGAGGAGGAGTTTTTGAATAGTCAGACAGATAGACTCACGCTAAAAATGCCCAATAATGATCTAAGATCCATTGTGTTAAGATCATCTTGGCCCTGAAAAACCAAACAGTTCCCTCTCCAGCCCCTCCTCTCCTTTAGTTCAGTTTTTATAGTATTAAATATCGTCTCCTGTGAAGACGTTCCTATTGAGGGACTCATTACACAGGGATCTCAAATGCCTAGCCTGCAGGCCATCCATAGATGGAGGAATTGTGCAATCCAGTCCAGGAGTCTTCTCTCCCGCCCATTGAACCTTGTCCCCTGAGGGACATGGTCTCGAGGATTACCAGAGGAGGCACTGGTGTAGGGCAGTAGCATAGGTCTGTCGATAGGTAATTCCACAGAGGACACATGTCTCTGTCCAACAAATAATAGACTATCCAAATCTTGTCTGAGAGTGTCTGTTTTGGAGAGTTATTGATCCTCTAATTGATGCACATGAGGCTACTAGTGTGTGTGTTTGTGGGTATGCTATCAGAGGCAGAAAGAGAAGGAGCAACTCATAACCATGCTACTCAGCTTTATTACCAAAGTTGGTGTCACCTTAAGTTAGAGAAATGAATAGGGCTGGACGCCAACTGTATGTGGCTTATAAATCACACTTCCTATGTGCGAATAGAGAAACTCATTCAATTATTTTCTGATGAAGTGAGCTATGGGAACTCCTAATGTCCTGCAAAAAGTCACATACCAATTTTGGAACATGCTGAAAGTCTCCTAAAGCTCAGTTAAGATCGGTTTCCAGTACAGTATTATCTGAAAACGTACTGTATTTGTGTTATTAATTCATTATTTGTTAAGCACAAATGATATGTTACTTCACTGAGGGAAGCTGGCCAAAAACCACTCAAATGTGATCCATTAGTATGAATCTGGCTGTGAAGTCACAGCTTCCATGAAAGACTACTATAGAATGGTGCCAGGCCACAGGAAGGAAGAAATCAATACAGTACTTGCAGTCCCTAGATTTTTATAATTTTATACTCTTTGTGACTCATGCTAAATTCCCAGAAAGCTCCAAAACACTGGAGGGTGGTGTTTCTTCACCCTCTGTTGCCTCTCTTGGAATAAATCTGGATAATATAGTTTAAGTAAAGTATTTTATTGTAGTAATATGATCCAAGCATGTCTAGAAAAATTTTATTGGCCAGCACCCAGGGCAATACAAGAGGTTCAGACAACTGAAACTTACTTATTGTTCACTGAACAGGCTGTCAATCTGAACTTGAAGGCACTGACTGGCACTGCCATCCCACCTCAGTTAACTTGCATATTCCATTGAATAGTAGGGAAAAAATGGATGATCTGGTTGCCTGGTTTGTTAATTTGCTAATTTATTTGGCTTGGCAAGTTGCACTTTGAGAGGAATACACATAGCTGTGCCTATTCTCTCATGAAAATGTGGTAAAAGGAACTGCTGTCATCCAATGAGGAAGAAAACCAACTTTTAACTTGAACCTCTGGGAGGGCATGCCAATCAGTAAAATTTACCCAATATTTTGTAACAGCAGTCAAATCAGATCAGAAGAAATGTGCATGTATGCATACACATCTTAATTTCAAGAATTAACTTTATTCATAGAAAAATTCTGAAATGTTTTCCTTGTTAGACAATCAAATTTGAGATCCAAATTGTGCCCAGCATACCTTAGATCTAGGAACATCTATCTTCATTTTTGTTAAATAATTTTGATGTGATTATTCTTGAGTAAAACTAGTGTATGCCAATAGTAGCCTGATGAAAACATTACATTGTCAATTTAACAAACAACTGGGGGCTTATTTTTCTTGGGAATATAATTATCATTAATTTATTTTATACTTTGTAAGTCTTTGATGTTTTTGTGTTACAACCCTCAAAATACTCTTCTCCCTATTGTACAATCATTAATATCCAAAAATTGAATCTGTGGCTTTTTTTTTGATTGAGGAAGAGGAATCTTTGAACTGCTGTTACAGAAAAATGTTGAGAAAGACTTTGAAAACATGAGAGAGGCAATAGTAAGTTACTAAAAATCTTTTGAGAAGGTGGATGATTGTGAATCTTTGCTATCAAAAGACTCTACAAGGTGACCTATGTGTGTATCAAGGTGGAAGTGAAGGTTATGAGCATAATGGGTTCTAAAAGCAGCTCAGTAGAATTTCATGGGGAGAACAGAGGATGAAAAAGGCAAAGACCAAACTGCAGTATGACGCTTATGAATTTTCAATGAAGTCTCATCAGTTCTACTAATAAAAAGTATAAAGCAATCAAACGAGGGAATCACAGAAAGTGCTGACTTCGAATACTTAACCAACTCAACAGAGCTTAATAAGAATTTTGGTCTAGACAATAGGACTCTGATTTGCTGCTCTGCAACACCAATGCATCATATTGTTGCACCAGAAGCATGTCTTTTAGTTTCCTCCTGCTGAGAGTAAAAAAAGCCAGTGCCAAGGGAGCTGACATGGAAGAGCCCATTCTAGTAGAAAAGAGTGAATCTACAAAAACCACCACAAAAACCATAGTTTTCCCGATCCTATGAAGCAGAGATATTAAGCCTTCTGATTAAAAAAATATTTTTGACAGTCTTAATATAAGATTAACAAAGGAAAAATATACTGAAAATATTAGTTATGCAAATTTAACAAAACTTGCCTAAAAAATACAATGAAAATATCCTAAAGATAAAAAAAAGATACTAAACACGGAACCGAAGAAAATACTCTAAATAAATTTTAAGCAGTTAGCACAGAAACAGCGAGACACTAAAAAGGATCACTAATAATAATTACTTAATAGAAAGATGAGCTTATTAAAACACTTAAAGAAACATATCTATAGTAAAAATATTAATACACTTAAAATGTAGTTCTCTCAAATGAATACATATAGTTTTAAATAATTATTAGGAGAATGTGAAACAAAACAATTCTATATTAGTTTAATAGTGTCATAGTTGAATATGTAATTAGAAAGGTTTGCTTAAATTGTGGTGTAATTTGTCACCCAAAGGTATTTTTGTTGAATATGTGACAAATTGAGGAGTTTTTTATCTCCCTATTGAGATAGCGGAAAAAATAGCTACTATGAGCAAAACATAGAACATAAATCTACTGTTAGAGTTTGGAAAGAAATAAAT